CTGCTAGGTCCTCCGGGAGAGGGAGGGGTCCCCGAGAGGCCATTCACGGGCAGTAAAGTAAGTAGCACGTGGCTTTAGATCCCGCAAGAGGCTGACGACGCTTAACAAACACACAGCCAACCCCTGGGGTAGCCTGGAGCTTTCTCTTCCTTTCATTATAAAGTGACAGCGAAGCCTTACCGGAGAGTTGCTTGGTGGCCACAGGTCTCACTTTGTAGGGGGTCCTGCAAGAGAGAGGAGACAGGGCCACTGAGACGGTGACAAAGACGTCCACGGCACAGCTGGGACGAGAGGTCAGTGCTCGGCCGACTTAGAAATTCAGGGGAGGAGTTTCTTCGGCGGCTCTGATCCTCCTCGTTCAGGAGAATTCTAAATACTTTAACTCTACCGTTTAAACGACACGCTTCCTTATCATGTTTGCATGTGATCAATACGACACGTTTTGTCACCGGTACCACTGCTGCGCAGGCGTACGGTCTGGCAGGGACAGCGAGGACCGCGGGGCGGCCCCAGCCCGTCCCAGTACCTGGCCGCTGCGGGCGGGCCGCTCGCCGTCCTTGGCTTGACCTCTGGGTAGCTGCATCTCCCGAGTGAACAGGAGCGTGTGGTTCCAACGGCTCGGGCGAAAATGCCCTGGCATCCTGGTGACGCCACCCGCAAGGACCACGAGAGCCAGAGGGGCTGGGGTGAGGATGCTGGTGCCACTTACCATGGACGGAAGGCCGGTCCTCGAGGCAGGAGGACCTCGGCCCAGGGCCAGGAAAAGGCGCTTAGGCCCACGCGGAACGGGAAAGAAATGAAACAAGCAACAGCCAGGGACGGCAGAAAGGAACGAAAGGAAGGAAAAGGAGGGGAAGAGATGCCGTTTCCACCCGCAGCCAAGGAGAATTCCGAGAGCCGGCGGCGGGCGCTGCGAGGCCGGGAGGCAGGGCCTGCAGCCGTGCCAGGGTGCGGGGTGCTGGGGTGCGGGCCGCCGGGGTGCGTGGTGTGGGCCACCGGGGTGCGGTAGGCTGCCGGGGTGCGTGGTGTGGGCCGCCACGCCCTCGGGGCCGGCAGGCTGGACACACCAACTAGAATTCGAAACACACGGTCCTTCGGGGTCCTAGAGCGCAGTGAGTCCGAAACATTGCCGGAGGCGAACGCGACAAAGCTGTCCTACTCGGGCGCGTTAGGAGCAGGCAGCGTCTCGAGGACACGCTGAAGCTGGGACCACAGAGGGCGGCAGGACAAGAGGCGGCCAGCGACGGGACGGACCGACCCCGCGGAGAAGCCGCAGGGCAGGGGCCGAGCAGGCCTCCTGAGGACGGGACGCTGTGGCCGCCACACGTCCGCGCGGCCACTGGCAGCCTCGGCAGCGGCAGCAACAGTCGCCCTTCGTCCCGGCACACGAAGGCCGGGCAAAGGCAGCGGCCGTGCGCGGGGACATCTGCCCGGGGCGTTTGTTCCTTCCTTCCTACCGAGTCCTCGCCGTGACCAGGCGTCGGTGACAAAGCGGAACCGCCCCTGCCCTCGTGTGACTGCCCCGCCCCCCACAGGGCACGCCGAAAGGACACTGGAAATGCCTGTCACACCGCAAGTCACAGCCACATGCAGAGCGAGCCGAGTTCCGGAGAGGGTGGCCCAGGAAGTCTGAGGGTTCACACGCACCAAACCGCCGCTGGCAGTGATGGGTGGGGTGACACCCGTGGTTTACCAGAGACCATGGGGACATTTGAGTTTAAAACAGTGATAAAGTAGAACAGGGAAACCTGGGTGGCAGTCGGGGCAAAGGACAGACCAACTGTTTCGGCTGAATTCAAGAGCCATGCGGCTCCGCTCGACCAGAGGCCGCCTGCTCTGACAGGCGCGGTGTGAGTGACACCGCCCTGTGACGAGGTCAGCTCGTCTGCGGACGTCACAGCAGGGTGACAGATCGCTCAGTGACTGTTCTTCGGAAGCGAGTGCCGCTGGCGTCTCTAAGGAGCCAATCAGGGCGGCTCCTTGTGGGGCTCGTGACCAGAGCCGGGGGTGGCATTCGGAAGCCCCCCGAGGGGCGCACGGGAGGACAGTGCCTGCACGTCCCCGAGGACTGTGCCTCCCCCGTCGTTACTGGACCAGCTCCCTGCATCGAAGCCTCACCAAAGTTTCACCCATGCCTGGGGCCGGGGGATTCTGCACCTTGTCCCCCCAACCCCCATCTTTGGTTTAAATTCAGATTTTCCTATGGCAGGAAATCACGGAAACAACCACGGAGACCCTCACGTGGGTGGGGGGTGGTCAGAGACAGCACGAGACAGGGGCGGCCGCGGCCACCTGCCGCTTACCGTTCGGAGTTTGCGGGCATGGTGGGGTCAATGGAGACCATGGCGTCGTCCGTGGTCAGCAGGGAGATGGTGGTGTTCCTGAAAGACACGTCGGTCAGGGCCGCACCCTTGAACGGGCCTCGAGCGAGAGAGGAGCCGGGAACACGAGACCACGGGGCCGGGGCTGACCGTCCCAGGCCGGGCGCCTCCTCCAGCCACAGGCTCCGTCCGCAGATCGAGTGGGAAGGCCGTGTGGCCCCAAGTCGTTTAAAATGGGAACTGGAGAAAGTCTAATTTATTGAGCTGGGACATGAAATGACACTGGGTAAAACAGAAATGACCGTTCACGTCAGCCGGTGACAGATCGCCTCTTCGCTACCTTTGGGGTCCGCCCGAGCGGGCACAGGTGTCCCCTACAGTGGGCGAGCCGAAGCTTCCTCCAGCTCTCACTGGCCCCACGAGCTGGTCGCTGCGGCCACTTTACATACGCCCTCTGGTCTTTCTGTGTTTTAGAAATCTGTGCAGTGGGGGTGACGCTGACGTCACAGACGTGGTCTAGTTCTCAGGACGGCGCTGCATGGACGATGCCCGCTCTGCGGGCTGTTTTTGCTGCTACAGACTCTGCCATTCACCATGATGTCGACCACGTAACTTCATCCCTGAACCCTCTTTTCTCACCTGGCTGGGCGAGCCCACTGTCCGGGCCCCTCCCCTTCCCTGAAAGGCGGCTGCCATGGAGAAGCTACTCTGGGTCACTCTGCAGTCAGAAAGCGAGGCATAAAACCAGCTGCTGATTTGGGAGAACAGATCCTAGGGCGGATTACCAGTCTTTTCAACTCATTTCTGAAGTCAGTCTTTCCCCAAACATCTACCTGTGACGACCACTGCCCCCCCTCCTGCCCCGAGACAGAAAGCACACCTGCTGGACCGCTGGGAGGTGGGACCAAGGCCAAACACAGCCACCCTCTGTCCCTTCTCCAAAAGCAAATGCACAAACCGAGACAGTAGTTTCCGGCAACTCCGCTCAGTGGTCTCCTCTCCCATGGGCGGGCAGCGGGCGGCGGGCGGACCGAAGGGCTCCCGCGGCTGGGTGGACGTGCTGGCCCGCCCCCCGGCCCCCGTCCTCGGCGACCCTTCCCGTCAAGGGGACCCGACGGGCGGGAGGCAGAGCGGCCCACTCACCGAGGCAGGCCGGTGGCAATGCAGAAGAGGTCCATGATGTCGCTGGAGTTGCAGTGCTTGCTGAAGACCACCTGCAAGACACAAGCGATGGCCGTCAGGGGGCCGGAGTGGGCACGCTTTCCCTGGCCACGGTGCAGTCCCCGAGCTTCCTCTCGGCCCCGACCTGCGGGTTTATTCGAAAAACGTCGCCGAGGGCGCACGGACGTGCCACTTAGATGGGCCGTGACAAACCTCGCTCTCCTGTTCGCTGAGGGGCCTTGGGGAAAGTCAGGCTACCGGCCGTGTAAACGCCCCTGCGGGTGGCCTTGCTGCTACATGTCCGTCCTCAGGTGTCTGACATACCAATGGACGACCTTGGCTTAATGATGTCACATCTCGGGGAGGCCCCGTCGACTTCACGGGGGCCGTTACGTAAGGAAAAACGTTTTTAAAGGTCATTAGCTTTGAAAAAGTTGCCTTCCAGGGTTTGGGGGCCGAGGCTGTGTGACTAAACCAAGGGGAGCGCCACGGTCTCCCAGGGGAAAGGAATCACGGGTGAGTGCACGGCGCCTGGGTGTCCGCCCGGCCAGCGGGGGGGACACGCTGGCATCGGCGTCTTTTG